GGTGATGAAGACAAGCTCCAGGGTCTCAGAAATGGTGAAAACCAGGGGACAAGGCATTATTAGCACACCCAGGAAGTACTTCCCAGAGGAAGCAGAACACGGTGAAGAATGCACACAGGGATGAATAAAACTGTAAGCAGAAGCACTTTGGCTTCAAAGTGGCCAGGTGGCCTCCCAGACTCAGTCACACCAGTCTGGGCATCTGGGATGACCTGATCAACCTGCCAGAAAAACCTAATCCCTCAAAGCAAAGTGTGGGGGTGAGTGGGCTTGCAGCTGGGGTTAGGACACCTAAGAAATCTTTGAATGCATAGACTGTGTTTAAAATGCTCCTCTCTGAGATCCTGCATGGCAAATGGAAACTGTCCTTTTGTTTGATTGGATTGGGTCTAAAGGACTTAAGTTTTGGAAAAGAGAAGGGAGGAGGACACCACAGGCAGGAAGGAGGGCCCCTAGGTAGTGGGAGCTGCAAGCTCAAGAGCCACAAAGCTCCAGGTGAGGAGTAACTTCTATGTTGTTTTCTCTTTTAAGGAAACTTTTCATTTAAGAATAGTATCCAAGAAGAGTGTACAAATCATAGCCTGTACAGCTCAATGTGATTTTTATCGTGAAAGAAATTCAAGGTGCTTCACGAACATATGTTGTCAATACCATGTCCTCTGCAAAGACTCTCTCCTCTCTTACCCTCTTGGCCCCAGCTGCTCCTCTGACTTCTGGGGTCTCTCCCAAAGTGTGCAGTATGCCAATTCTGGAGTTATTTAAGTTCCACTGGAGAAGCAGTAAAAAAAAAAAGTGCGGTGCTCAGGCCCTGTGCGCTCTGCGATTGTGACCCAGGAACGACGGGGTAGGGGTTTATAACAAGCCCTGCAGGGGATTCTAATGTCGGGGGCCTGGCCAGTGCTGTGGGAAATGATTTGTTTTTCCTACACCAGAAATGGACATAAGCCCTGACAAGCTGTACGATTGAACTAGATCCTAGTTTCCATCTGGTACTGGGGACGTAGGGCGGTAGGAAGCACTTGCTAGCAGAGGTGGTGAGCTAGAGGGGGAGCCCTGGGCGGGTTCCTAACCACATTCTGAATCTACCACGCAGAGCACTCAACCCTCATGGACTTAGCATGGCTTGAGAGCCTTCCATGACCTTAAACTTTACACATGCCTCTGAAGAAGTGACAGGGCTGGACGCTTGGCTTCTGAAGCCCAGAGCAGATGTTTTGGATGGCTGAACCCCTTACCTGCTGTGCTAATCCTATAAGAGAAGTCCAGAATAATGAACGGGGAACCAGCTTTGCTTTCCTTCTCCATGGAGAGAAGCCTCTGCTGTGATGTTCATGCCTCAGAACAGAGATACAAGCTGTTTTATAATGAGGCTTGTGCCTCCTTAAGCAGCCCCCAGCTTGACCAACTTCACTTCTTTTAAGCTCCCCTACCCACAGCCAGGTGCTCATCAACTCTGATCAGGAGCATTCAACCCAACGAGTGGCAGGTTCTACTGAAACAGAAGGCTGTGTGCAGAAAACCCCCAAAGGAAACAGCCAAGCATGTTTGGCCTCAGTGTGAATTTTAGAATCCCTCCTGGAGAAGACCAGCATAGTAATAGCAGTGTTTTCTAAGTGTGGTCGCCAGACCAGCAGCACCCTGGTGTGGATCTGGGGCCCTGCTTCAGACATACAGAATCAGAAACTCTGGGGATCAGGGCTGGGAGTCTGTGCTATAACAAGTCCTCGGGGTGATTCTAGCACACGTGCAGTGGGAGAACCACTGGCTTAATGGAATGTAAAACTTACGGAATGCCTTTATTCAAACAAAGAAAATATTGCTATTGGTGGGGGTGATTTTTTTCTGGGCTTTTATTTGAGATCCCCATTGCAGTAGTGGGGGGAGCTCTGCTGGCCAGAGATGAAGAAGAAATAGAGCCGACGGGCTGGAGAGGAAGAGGTGTTTTCATGGATCTCTCCAGTGTCTTCTGACCAAGAGAGCATTATGGAAACCAGCAGGGGTGGAGAGGCAAGACAGTGGAGAAACCAAATCCCAATGCACCTCCAGGTCAAACAGAGTCAAATGTTCCAAAGCACAGCTGTTTAAGAGCTGGGTTGTGTCAGCCACCTGTGTTTAAATAAGTTTGCCATTCAAGTACAGTAAGTAGGGTGGCCAACATGTCCAGGTTTGCCTGGGATGTCCCTGGTCTTAGCACTCAAAATCCCACATCTCAGGAAACCCCTCAGGTCCAGGCTCCAGTGTGTGTTTTTCCCCTTCCACCAATCAAGTCTCCAATTCTCAGCAGATACCCACTGGATGGCCTATAATTCAGTTCAGTTTTGACACTCTCTTCTTAGAGATCGTGTCAGATCCACAGGTTATGGGCTCCGACCTACAAGGCAGTCCCCACTCCCTTTCCTTTAGATGTCAGTAGCAAGTCTGGGTTGTCACCAACCAGCTATAGACTGGATGTTCCCGCAGCCCCCTCCTTGGGTTTGAGGAATTTGCCAGAACGGCTCACAGAAATCAGAGAAACATTTTACTTACTGAGTCACCGGTTTATTATAAAAGGATATAACTCAGGAAAAGCCAGATGGGAGATGCATAGGGTGACATATGGGGAAAGGGCATTGAGCTGCTACGCCCTGAATGTACCACTCTCCCCAGATCTCCACGTGTTCAACAACCCGGAAGCTCTCTGAACCCCCTCCTTTTGGGGTTTTGTCGAGGCTTCATTTTACCTAGGCACAATTGATTCAATCATTGACCGTTGGTTGTTGAACTCCATCTCCAGCCCCTCTGGCCTCCCAACAGGACGGGAGGGGACTGAAGTTTCCAACCCTCATTCCCCTGGCAACCAGCTTCATCCCTTAGTGAGAAAGGGCTTTCTGAAAGTCGCCTCATTAACATGACAGAAGACGCCTTGATCACTGTAACCACTTGGGAAATTCTAATGGGTTTAGGATCGCTGTGCCAGGAACAGGGACAAAGACCAAGTATATATTTATTATAAGTCACCATATTGCAGGGCAAACCGAGGTGACTGGTCAGTACTCACCCTGGTTCAGTGACCGTCCAGTGGAATTACTGGGTGAGCTTTTTTTTTTTTAAGATTTTTTTTTTTAAAGATTTTATTTATTTTTATTTGACAGAGAAAGACACAGCGAGAGAGGGAACACAAACGGGGAGTGGGAGAGGGAGAAGCAGACTCCCTGCCGAACAGGGAACCCGATGCGGAACTCGATTCCAGGACTCCAGGATCATGACCCGAGCCGAAGGCAGTCGCTTAACCAACTGAGCCACCCAGGCGCCCCAAGATTTTTTTTTAAATTTATTTATTTGACAGAGAGAGAGACACAGCAAGAGAGGGAACACAAGCAGGGAGAGTGGGAAAGGGAGAAGCAGGCTTCCCACTGAGCAGGGAGCCCGATGTGGGACTCGATCCCAGGACCCTGAGATCATGACCTGAGCCCAAGGCAGATGCTTAACGACTGAGCCACCCAGGTGCCCCCTGGGTGAGCTTTAAAATGACTTGATGCCAGGGCTCACCTCCAGAGATGGTGATAGACTTGGTCTCAGGCACAGCCAGGGCATCAGGAGATGGAAAGTTCCTTAGGTGACTTTACTGTGGCTAGCGACAGAGAACCCATGCAGCTCCTTGCCTATCATTTCCCCTACTAAATTTTTTTTAACCACAACAAAAGTCAATAGTTCTGATGAAGTTAGACTCCTACCACATACCACATTCAAAAATGTACTCAAAATGGATCAACGGTCTAAATGTAAGAGCTAAAACTGTAAAAAATCTTGGAAGAAAACATAGGGGGAAGTCTTCATGACTTTGGATCTGGCAATGGATTCTAGTATCCTAGTTCAGACTTCTACTAGTTCAGGCTCGTTTATACTAGTTTATAGTAGTGTACCTCAACTCGGGCTGTAGATCAGAAATACTTTGTGAGCTATATTTATTTATAATATATATTTTAAATAATATATACATGTGGTGAAATTACAAAACTGTAGATATTTTTAAAAGTATGAAAAAGTAAGTGTTCTTCTCACCCTGGTTGCTTAGATTTCTACCCCACAGGCAGTTTTTGTTACAATTTCTTGGGTATTCTTCCCTGTTCTATGCACGTGCAAGCATATATGTACATATATATTTCCCTTTCTCATACTAACAGTAGCATACTAATCTTTACTTTTCGCTCAACAGCATGTTTTGGAGATCATTTTAGCATAGGTAGATCTGCCCAAAATTCTTTTTTTCCTTCCAAAAAATTATGTTTATTAACATATATTATCTATATAGATTTTTCTTTTTTTTTAAAGTATTTTTTAGTGGATTTTTTGTTGTTGTTGTTGTTTTTGCCCAATATTCTTTTTAATTACAACATTGTGGTCATCTATAGTTGCGTAGTTGTAATAGATAGGTCTAACTTATTTATATTAAATAACTAGTTACAACTATTAAAGGACATTAGATTGTTCATTACAAAGTGGTAGGGCCTATCCTATCCGTATGTCTTTGAGTAGATGATGTACCAGTGTATCCCGTGGGACGCAAGAATGGCTGAAAGATATGTGCATTTCACAATTAGAGGAGATGACATCAAGATCCCCTCTAAAATGCAGTACCAATTTACATTCCTGGGCATCTTTTAAAAACACAGAGTTTCAGGCTACATTTTACTTTAACTCATGAGAATCTGTGTGGGTGGGGCCTAGAATCTTTATTTCATTTCTTTGGTGATTCTGGTACAAGAAGGCTCTTGGATGGAATGAGAACCACGGGACGGACCATCTGGATGCCCCTGCTGCATTTCCTCCTGCTCTTTATCTTTTGATGGGACTGTTCCATCTCCTCACCAAGGGGACAGGCTCCTAAAGGACAGGCCTCTGGGATGTTGCTTCTTTATGTTCTTACCCTGGCAGAGTGTTTTGTATGACACTGCTTGTTGGTGACAAGGCTTGGCAGAAGGTTTGTGGCTCACAAGACGATTCTGTTTTCTTTTAGTTCCATGGATCAAACACAGAGAGGAATCCTGGGCCAGCCCCTGCCCATCCCCACCACCCAGCCCAAGAAGAAAAAGACGTCAGTGATGTTTTTCTTTTCCAAGGTCTGTCACAAAATATTATAAACTGAGGTCCCTCCCAACAACCACATGTAACAGCGCCTGTTCTGCATTAGTTGTGGTGGCTCCTCTGAGGTTCTGAAAAAAGCTTAATGACACTTCTTATAACACGGACTGAATGTTTATAGGATAGCAAGATAAGATGGGAGGAATTTGGCTTGCTGCTAACTTAATCATAAAAGTATAGAATGAACTGCAACGCATACTGAGAAATAATGATGAGACCTGGTGATCATCCAAATACCAAATAGGACTGTGGGTCCATTCTGCAGCCCCTCACTCCCCAGGATGGTGAGGAGGTGGCTTTTTCCTGGACCTTGTCTGGATCCTGCATTGTCTTGGTTCTGATGTCGGCACATGTTGCTGTGTCGTGTGAAGCACAGAACACTGCGGCCTGCCTGGTCTCATAGGCTCACGACAGAGGTAACCCGGCCCTTGCCCTGCAGTGAGAGTTCAGTCCCTGAAGTAGCTTCCTGCATTGGCCACGCGGGGTTTCCCAATTTGCATTACTTACGCGTTTCTTTTCCTAATCTTAGTTGCTCAGATGTATGCATTCTGGTGGGACATCCTTTAGGTGCCCTGAGATGTTTGTAGATGTGGTTTGCTAGTTGGGTCAAATGCTGTCGAGAGGTTGATGAAGACAAGTACTGAGAATTAACCCTTGGATTTGGCCACATCAACCTGACTGCAGAAGGTTCAAGAGATAACGGAGAGACAAATTGGAGAAAACCAGTATAGACACATCTTTTAAGGTGTTTAGCTACAAGGTAGAGCAGAAAAGTGGGGAAAAGCTGGAGGAGTAAGAAGAGTTGGGGAAATGCTTTTCTTTGAGATGGAAGCAGCCGAGCATTTCTTGTCCTGTGAAGGATCCCTGGTCTCAGCTCACATCAACTGTCTAAAGCCCCCTTTCTTTCTTTTTTTTTTTTTTTAATGATTTTATTTATTTATTTGACAGAGAGAGAGAGAGAGTGCGAAAGAGCACAAGCAGTGGGCGGGGAACCCAATGCGGGGCTCGATCCCAGGACTCCGGGATCGTGACCTGAGCCCAAGACAGACGCTTAACTGACTGAGCCACCCAGGCGCCCCTGAAGTCCCCTTTCTTCTGAGCTCTAGCACACCCTCAGTGATCCTAGAGCACCTGTCCCCATACTTCCCCCAACCTACCTCAACACCAACCCTGCATTATTTGTCTCTACCTCTTTCCTCTTCCATCCATTTTTTTCATTGTGTAGATCAAACTAATGTATTTCCAGCAAAAATCGGGTGTCTTTAGGTGGAGAAAGATGGGCTAAGTTGAGCAGGCCACACAGGATTTTCTTTAGAGGGAGGGATTGGGGTTGGGATGGGTATGCCTCTGAACACTCCCCAAATCAATACATTTTTTTTAAAGATTTTATTTATTTATTCATAAGAGACAGAGAGAGAGAGGCAGAGGGAGAAGCAGGCTCCCCGCCAAGCAGGGAGCCCGATGCGGGACTCGATCCCAGGACCCTGGGCTCATGACCTGAGCCGAAGGCAGACGCTTAACCATCTGAGCCACCCAGGCGCCCCCAAATCAATACATTTTTGACTTACTACCCAGGTCTCTTGGACACTGAGTTTCCAGAAGCGGGAGTCTCTGAAGAATGTGTTCTCCAACTTGGCAGAAAGAGCCCAGGACCCCAACGCTAAAAAGCGTCACATGGCAATGAGAGGCCTGGGAACCATGGCCTGTGAGACCCCGGACAAGGTAGGAGGGAAAAGTGGCACCTGGCCAGCCCTCATGGCCTGGAGTCTCGGACTGGGAGACAGTGCTTCATGTACCAGTTATCTGTTGCTGTGTGACAGATCACCACAGACCTAGCATTCATCCTCTTGAAGTTTCCTTGGGTTAGGGGTTTAGGTACGGCATAGCCAGGTCCTCTACTCAGGATCTCACAAGGCTACCATCCAGGTGTGGGTCGGACTGCATTCCTTTCTGAAGCCTGGGCTCCTCTTCTAAGCTTCTGTGGCCGTTGGAAGAACGTGGCTCCTTCCAGTTGTAGGACCAAGGTCCCTGCTCTCTTGCTGACTGGCCAGCTCCGCTCCTTGAGGCTGTTCTCTTAGAGCATGTGAGCTTTCTTCTTCAAGGCCAACAGGAGAGCCTCTACCACTCATGTCTGCTCAGGTGGACTCTTACGTAATATAATGTAACCATGGGAGTGATATCCCATCACTGTCGTCATATTCTAGAGACTAGAAGCAAAGTCACTGGTTCTTTCCACGCTCAATAGAAAGAGACTGTACAAGGGTGTGACTCATTTGGGGTTATTTGGGGGTCATCACACCTCAGTATTATCAGCCTTGGGAAACAGAGCTGCACATGGGATTAACACACACCTGGACATCACCCTCTTGGGTGAATTTAATTGATTTTTGAATAATTTATGCCTGTTTAGTAAAAGATGTTTTCCCCACCTCTGCTTTTAGCATCTGTTGACTTCAGTGACCATTTCATCTCATCCCTGATAAAAGTATCTGCTATGCCCCAGATGTCTAGATCATCCAGCCCACCACACTCCTTGACGTGCCCTTCCGGCCTCATCTGCTCATAGACCAGCTCCAGATTGCTCTTTCTGTTCCTCTTCCAAGACTGAGCTGGCTCTTGGGTCAGGTTAATGGAAGCATTTGTTATTTTAATGAGATTTGTTGCTGCCACGCTCTCAGTCCAAGTCCTAGGTTATTGGAAGATTAGAAGTAGGATTGCTCTTCAACGCACGGGGAACAATTTCTGGACTACTCATGCATTTCAAACTGTTAACAGGTGAGAAAGTATAAGAAAATTGTCCTAGATCTGCTGGTGCATGGACTGTATGACCCTGTGAGTGCTGAAGTTATCCACGAGAGCATGAAGACTCTGACCATCATCTTGGGCAAGATCCAGGGGAAAAGTCTGGGCTCTTTCTTCGTAGACATCACTCTTCAGACCAGGACTTTGTTAGATGACGTAAGTGAGACAATTCAGAAGAATTCTGGGTTATTAAAGTTGAAGTGGGATGAGAAATGTGAGCCCTGGGTGGCGTGTGGCTCAGAGAACATGGTCTGTATTATTCACTTATTTATTAAGAAATCATTGAGAGGCTAGTATCATACTGGGGGTTATGGAAGACATATAAAGAAGGAGGAGTGTTTGTTGTTATAGAGAAGTGAATATATATATACCGATGATGAAGGTGGTGATGCAGATGATAGTGAAGATGCTGATAACAGCGCCCTCATGTATTCAGTACTTTGTTATGAATGTGACAGTAACAGTACTTAGTGTTTAGCGAGCCAGGCATGGTGCTAGGCAGTTTTCATGGGTTATCTCATAGAATCTTCTCAATAACCCTGTGAGGTCGGCACTATTATTTTTATTTTTATTTTTTTTAAGATTTTATTTATTTATTTAACAGAGAGATAGCGAGAGCAGGAACACAAGCAGGGGGAGTGGGAGAGGGAGAAGCAGGCTTCCTGCCAAGCAGGGAGCCCGATGCGGGACTCGATCCCAGGACCCTGGGATCATGACCTGAGCCGAAGGCAGACGCCCAACAACTGAGCCACCCAGGCGCCCGAGGTCGGCACTATTATTATCTTCACTTTATGAAGGAGGAAACCAAGGCACAGAGAGTTTAGGGGACTTGCCCAAGATTCACAGAGCCTGTGACAGGATATGAGCCCAGGCTTTCTGACTATAGGACCTGTGCTCTTTGCTGCCATGTGACAAGGCAGGCTAAGAAAAAAGTGCACTGATACGTTGTTTGCTCTGAAACTGTGGGGACTCTGAGATACCTTCCTTCCAAGCTAACCAGCTAGCCTGCTGCAGTTACACACACACACACACACCCTCTAACAGAGAGATAATACCTGTAGAACAGGAAACAGCCCTTTTATTTACCCCCAAAGCACCTTGCGAGAGGTCCCCACACCGAATTCCCCAGATGGACCTGTGCCACACGAGAGGAAAAGAAATCTTGAAATTATGAAACTTGGAGTTTACATAGGGGCTTCTGGCCCATTTGCCTCTCCTCGCACTCAGGGAGACAGAGAGACATTTGCTCTGGAATGCAAACCAGTCATCTCTGGTCTCTACTTCACCTCCCTGGAATGTAAACAAATCTCCAGGAAGATGTCTAGATCTCCCTGCAGGTGCTATCTTAATTTCCAGGACTTGTTTGCCATGCAATCACTTTTTTATACCCAGATGGACTGTAATTTTTGACCAGAAAGCCCTGGTTGTATATAGTAACCTGGAAATAGTCGTGGAGAGTTGTTTCCTGACGGTGTATATCTAGCATGGCACCCTGACTACTGTCATATGCTGTGCTCGCTTGGGGATGTGTTCCCTGTCAGATGATTGTCAGGCCCCTAGCAGACCATTTTATGTGTCTTGTACCTCTTATAGCAGTAGGGTACCATTGAATTGAATTACACACACACACACACACACACATTGGTAGAACAGTGAAGAAAGTGCAACACTAAAGCAATTTGTGTAAGTGTCCCATGTGCTAAAAAATATTTTTCAATAGTTCATGAAACCATCAGTGGTCTTTGGTCTTGCTGAGTGTCTGTGACCCCCAGTTCTAGGTGCTCCTTGCCCCTGAAGAGGCCCAGCCCAGCTCTGTTCCTTCTGGTTTGCCTGGACATTTCAGGGGACCAGGAAACACTGATATAAAATCCCTTCACCAACAGTCAGGAGACTGGGTGCTACCCTGGTTCATGGTCGCCAGACAGTGTGACTCCCACAAGTCTCTGAAATGCCCTGAGCCTTGGTCTCCTCATCAGGAAAGGGAGATACCTGGGCCAGACCTCTCACCTTGGAGAACAAGAAAGGACTGAACCCACTGAGACACATTCAGAGACAAATCAGCCAACCGTACTAAAAGCAGGGAGAGATCGCAGGGTGTCAGGGAAGAAACAATTGTTATCTCTACTACAGAAGGAGAAACTCAGACCAGAAGTGAAGAGACATGCCCTTGTAGAAACTCTGTGAATAATCAACAGGAGATGGGTCGAATGAATTATAGTGCAGCCACCCCAAATTCCTTTAGGTAGTGACATGGAAAGAGCTCCCAGATAGATTGGTGAAAGATCAAAGTACATAACAGTGGGATGGTGTGCTTCCATTTGTGTAAAAATGTGAGAAAGGACTATATAATACATGTTTTATTCTTTTTCGTCTTAATTTTTTTGGAGGGATACACACAATATGTATAACTTTGTTCATTCATGGGAGGGAAATTGAGTGGCAGGCAGAAAGGGGTAGGAAGGAGACTTACTTTTGTTAATAAAACAATTTGGTTATTTTGAATTTTGAACCATACAAACATATCCTATCTCCAAGACATTGAATAATAAAGAACAGAGCTGGGAAGCTGGGATTAGCACAGTGATCCCCCGTCTAACTGTCTTGTCCTCTGAAGAAGATGGTTGTTGAAGACTCAGCCCGTCTCCTCTCTGTCCCCCACCTCAGGCAGCTAAGTGCTTTAGACTGGATCTGGTGAACCACCCCCTACAAAGAACGATGACTGTGATGTTCTCTGATGCAGTGGCCTTTTGGTAACAACCTGGGTTTTGTTGTTTTGTTCACCGGGGACCCACAGGAGAATGACAACCTGAGATATTCAGCCTTCGTCTTGTTTGGGCAATTGGCAGCCTATGCTGGGCGGAAATGGAAGACATTTTTCACCAGTCAGGTCAAGCAGACTCAAGATTCCCTCCTGATACATTTACAGGACAGAAATCCCCAGGTTGCCAAGGCAAGTCTTTGACTCTCCCACCGACTGCATGAGAGCTCTGGGCCATTCCTAAAGGGGCCTGCGGCTGTGCCCTGTTGTGAGGAGCCGCTAGACTCTCTGTTGCTGCCAGTTTCGTTAGGGACGCTCGGCAGTGTATCCATAGGAATCCTTGGAAAGGTGCCTGCCCGGTGTGTCATCTCTCTCTGAGCAAGCGTGCTATTTTCCATTTGCTCCTGCCCCACCTGCCCGATCAGTGCCTGCCAATGGTAGATAAATTCAGGTTACTGGAGCGTGGGGGCCAGAGAGGCATGGGTTTAATCTGTGGGGCAGTAGCCCACATAAGGAGGACATGAACTCATGCTACTTAACTTCTGTCACTGTGTAGATTTCCCACCCCTGGCTTCTCAATCCCCTACAGAGCTTTTGTTTTATTCTTAGAGAAAACATGTCCTAACAGAGTTGGATCGATGTCAGGCTTTCAAAACCACTGGGGGCAAGAGGTTCCACCAAACCACTTGTCTTTTTTAAATTAGTGCACACGAGAGAGAGACAGAGACAGACAGAATTTGGGAATTTAGGAATTCAGAACTACTTTTGATGGGACAATAACCAGTGGTAAACAATAAAGTGATGCTCTCCCTACCAGCCCAACTTATAGACCTGGCCATTTTAGAAGCAAAATCCTTTAAGGTTGACGTCTTCAAACTTTCTGGAAGTTACTTTCATACCCTCAGGGGCCCCCAGGCCACAGATTGGGTGCAGTGCTCTTCCTTGCTTGGATTCTAGAACTCTCTAACGTTTTTTACAATAAGATGGTAATACTATTTTTCTCAGGCTTGCAAGACAACATTTCGAGCCTGTTCTCCATATCTGAAAGAAAGAAAGGAAAACAGCTTCCAGACTGAAGAAGATCAAAGGAACCCTAAACTCTGCCGGCAGCTGGTGAGTGAGAGAGTGTGTAGAGAATTCTCCCAGAGGTCCCTGCCCTCCTGGTGCCAACCCAGAAGGTGGCAAGCCACACGAGGGAGTTATTCCCCGTAAAATGCCTCAGGCCAATTGTGTTTCGATTGTAACTGACCCATCATGCAATGTAAATGACAAAACGCCCGGAGGATTATGCACAAAATCTATTGGCACTTCCAGTGTAGATCATTAGATGAACGCAGGCCATGATCTCCACCTCTGAGAATCTGAAGATTGACAGTCCTCACGCCCTGCCTTTGACAACTGTCTACTCGTTGTAGAGTCAAGGAGGCATGTGGAACCGGTCCCTCACGTGCGCTTTTGCTGATTTCTTTCAGGGCTACTATCATCCAGAGCTCCTGCAGTTCTTCTATGCAAATAAGATTCTGTAAACACAGAGCAGGAGGGAAATTGTTCCAGTGAGCACCTTGCTGGGGGGCTGATATTCCCCCTCTTTTAACTCCTCGGATGCTTCTGCTTGCCTCTTGGGATTGTAATAGAAAACGGGATGCTGGGAGAACAACTGATGGCAATTGCATGGAATTGTATGATTCTATCCAAAGTAAATTCTAAATTGCTTTTATGTATCTCTTTTCCTCCCCATACACATTTGATGAGAAGGTATATGCTTTGTTTAAAACACTGAAAGCATAGGTAGATTCAGTGCTTATTGCTCAGCTTTTTCCTTAAGTTCATCTGTTACCTTTTCTTTTTTATTTTATTTTTAATTTCTGAGGTTTACGAGAATATTACCTTAAGTTGTTGTTGTTGTTTTTTTAATCTGCCATTGATACTTTGCGATTTGTTATGGATACCTTTTATTGGCAGGACCTATTTAAAGTTGGCCAAGGGACCAAGAAGGGGGTTTGGAGAGTATCTTTAGCTTCTCATAATCTTCAGCAGTCATTGCCTCCAAGATCATTCCAAACACAAATTAATAAAGAGAAAGAAAAATCTGTAAAGCATGTGCTGAAAAACCTCAGGGTAATAGTAATGTATGGAATAATAAGTAACATTTATGGAAAATGTTTATTGGACACTAAGCGCTTTGCAAGTATTATTTAATACTTACAACAACCCTATAAGAAAGATACTATTATTATCCTCATTTTCCAGGTGAGAAAACTAAGGCACAGGGAAATTAACTAGCTTGCCCCAGATGACCCGGTGAGTGATGGAGCTGGAATTCCAACCCAGACAGTCTGACTTCTGGAGCCTATATTCAATCACCATGTGATTCTGCTTCAATGTGGAGTAATTGACAGATAGCTAGAAACATAAAAAAAAAAATTAAAAACCCCTCAGCTTCTGCTCTATTCAACTCATTTACCTTTTGCTTTTATATGTACTAAATACACATTTTTATTAATTTAATTTGTGATCTAAGTATATATTTTTACTTGTCACCGCTTGGCTAATTATATCAATTTTTTGGTGATCAATTCTAGTTCTATGAGGGGTCACGTGGATCATGTAAAAAATTGCAAGAAAGGGGGCGCCTGGGTGGCTCAGTCATTAAGCGTCTGCCTTCGGCTCAGGTCATGATCCCAGGGTCCTGGGATCAAGCCTCGCATCGGGCTCCCTGCTCCGCGGGAAGCCTGCTTCTCCCTCTCCCACTCCCCCTGCTTGTGTTCCCGCTCTCGCTGTGTCTCTGTCAAATAAATAAATAAAATCTTTAAAAAAAATTTTTTTCGAGAAAAACCTCAGTCCTTCCCACCTTCCCTTTAACCAGTTTGCCTCCCAAGCTTCTCTTATAGAAATTCTGATATTATCACCAAACTTGACATTCAGGCCATATGGGACGACTGTGTCCAGTTTGGGAAATGGAAAACACAAGAGGGTCATAAATGCTGCAGAGAGATCTTAATGTCATTCTGAAAACTGGGAACTCCATCTTCTGCTTTAGCTCTCCAGAGATAGGACTGTGTAACAGAGATGAGGGGGTTGTCTCCTAGGAGAGACAAGAATGTGGCAGATGGCAGAAGGCGGAGCAGGAACCAGGCATGAATGGGTTTTCTTTCTTCCTATTTTGAAGCTGGGGTACATGACCCAGGGGCTCTGGGGAGTGACACAGGCTCTGGAGCAGGTGGGATGGTTCTGAGCTGAGAGCCCTCTCCCCCTTCCCAGATGTTGGCCTGTTTGAAACTCTTTTGCAAGGTCCCTTTAGAATCTGAGGCAGTTCTAGTAAGGAATCAGTGAGTGGCCTGAGAAACAATTGCATTTTACCAGCATTCAAAAAATGCGGAGGTGGAGTGGGGCAGGCAGGTTATGTGCTCTGGAGTAGAAACATCTATGTACTTCATGCCCCTTAGTTGAATAAAATTGTGGAAGATGCTGTTGAGTTGACTTTAAGATTTGTGGTAGACTGTTACTTGGGGGGCCTCCAGTGAATCATGCCTCCTGATATCCATGCCCTTGGGTAGACCTCTCCTGTTGCCTCTGGGCTGGCTTTGTGACCCACGTTAACCATGAGAATGTGTGGAAAATACCACTATGCCAATTGTAGGCTACTCTTTAAGAGCCCTGGCAGCTTCCTGTTTTGTGCTTCAGGTGAAGCCAGCCGCCGTGTAAGAAGCCAGATTACCAGGAACAAAGAAGAATGTCTGAGATCACCACTTTGGAGGGAAGACCAAGCTAACGGCATGGAATGCCATGTGGAGGAGAGCTGAGGGGCCCAATCCACAATGAAGTCTGAGGTCCAGACATGTGACGCAAGTGGGCCATTCCAGCCAGACCCTGGCTGCGCAAGCAACACAGCTGATACCAGCTGTCCCCATGAAGCCCCATCCCAAATGGCAAAATTGTAAGCAAGTTAATCAAATGATTGTTGTTTTAAATCACTAACTAATGGGATAGTTTGTCACTCAGCAATAAGTAACCAAAAGAGGTTCCTTATCATTAATTTTGTCATTTGGCCAGTTTTGTTTTGCTCTTAATAAGTCCTCCTTGAGTTTAAACTTTATTTCTAGAAAGTTACACTATGATGGAATTCCGTGGTGAGAGCAAGGGATGCCTTGCTTTTGGACCACAAGCCCTGCCTTGTTTTCTTCCTTGTTTTCCTTTTTGTATCTCACTGGGTGTATCACAGGACCCAGCACATGGCAGATGATCCAGAAACATTTGCTGAATGACTAAATAGTTGCAAATTGTAGCAGGAACAGAGTCCAAACTAGTTTGCTACTCTGGGCTCTCAGCCATGGGCTCACACTCTTCCTTTCCAGCTTTTTCTTCTGTTACTCTTTTTGCTTTAGCCAAGCTTGGCTCCTCTCTCTTCTTTAAACACTTCTTGGTCTCTTATGCTCCTTTGCCTTTGCTCAGTCTGTTTCTTTTGCTTTGAATTCCCTCCCACCCAGCCATACATACTCACAGGCACACCCAGACACACATTTCAGGTGTATATCTTACCCCTTCTCTAAGGGATCCGCTCAATCAGGAAAGAGCTCGCATCTCTGAATTCCCAGAACATTCTAGCAGTCTTATGCCACTCAACATGTTTTATCTCATTTGCAAGATTTTAACCTACATGTCTTCCCCCCACACCCCCGTTCGAGTGAAGCTGCTGAAGGAAGGATCTTACCTCGTATAGCTTTGTATCGGTCACATGACTTCAAAGATACTCAGTAAGTGCTTAGTAAATAAATGTGGATTGGGGAGAAAAAAGTCAGGAAGTCATCTGAAGCTACTCCTCCTTGGGAGAAGCCCATTTTGTCAAATGAGGGCCATCATTTCTCTCCTTATAACCAATCTGTGGGTGACTTTTATGCTTGTGTACTTTAAGTACCCCTTTCCCCATAAGATGCCTGTTCATTTGCTAATCTAAAGGTAAGGCTTTGACATTTCTTACTTTTAAACTCTAGATATGCACCAGTTGAGTGAATTAAAGAAAGAAAAAGGGATGTTCAGGTGCTACCATGCTAAGTGCTCAGAGTAGAGATCCACATAAAACTTGGTCCCCGCTTTCCCGTTGCCCACACGATGGGCCTTTCTTAAAGGGAAGGAGAAAGGAGAGAAAGACAAAGAAGGACGTGGAAAATCTAAGAGGTAATCAGTACTGGTACTCACTGTGAACAGAATCCAGTGGAATTCCAGTCCATAGAGTTGAGTTACAAAAAGCACAAGTGCGTTTTACAAAGAGAGAAACAGTAGCTGTGTGGGGACAGCGAGCAGATAGTGCTGGAAATGAGGCAAATATGTATTTGTGCCTTTCTGCATTTTCCAAGTTTTCTGCCATAAGCATGTATTACTTCTGTAATCATAGAACACATGCAAAAATGCTCTTTAAAATAAAAATGAAATGTTTATCGGTATGTAAAGTGGTATGTTTTGGAAAGCCTGGGATGGTTATTGCTCACTCTTGGTAGTACGTGTTTGCCTTTGTCCTTTTGTGACATTTTTGCTTTAGCCTATTGATGACAAATAAAATGACTTATGGTTGATTATCAGTGTATTTATATTACTGAATTTATGTTCTTTTCGTATGACCATAGTAGAATAAGTCTTCTGTTCCTGTTTTTATTTATGTGTTAAACACTCTTAGAAAACCCTTGGGTTCTAGAGAAACTCAATACATCCCAGTTTTCTGAAGAGAGATGGTTTGATATCGCAAAGGCCCCTTAAAATTATCAAGTTAAGCAGACTCCCAAGCCTGACATATAAGATTCTTCATAATGGACACCAACTTACAATTTCCCTTGGCTCTTCCTAAATTCCTCCTACCTGGAATGCTTCACCCTCCATTTGCTTGTTTCTATCCACCATTCCCTGGGCTGATTCCAAGGGTCCTTCTTTTTCAGAGGTAGAGCAGAGCAATCGGGGAGATGGGGCTTGGAGTCAAGCCCTCCTCGTTGTGAATCTGGCTTTGCCACTTACTGGAATAACCTTGGGTAAGGCAGCCTGCAAACCTCAGTTTGCTGATCAGTGAAATGGACGTAATAATCCCACCCATAGCACTGGTGTGCTACAAAGATTCAATTGTGTAACATCGAACCCTTTGCATGGTGCTTGGCACATGGAAGATGCTCAGGAAATGTTAGTTAATTTTGCTCCTGACCCCCAATCAGCCCTCCAGGTCCTGTTTCTTCTCTTCTTAATGCTGCCCAGGTCTTCAGCGAGGTCCATTCTGGCTTTCAGTATGGGATCGGAGTGTCATCTTGATCCTCCCCAATGAATGATTGTAGTCCTAGGGTCAGCTCTGCCTCTTATTCCTCCCCAGGTCCTCAGGACTGTAGCGTTGAGCCTTGCCCACCACGGGTGTTCAATAAAGAATGATTGAATTGATGGAGTCACGAATACCAGTGCCTTGACCAAGCATGACCCTGGAACCTCGTGGTCGGCTTTAGAATGGTCCGATGCATTTTAATAAGAACGAGAATCATAACTGACTGAGAAGAGCAAGCTGTTCTTTCCTAGTGGGCTCTTACAGGGGTGTCATGAGTGTTCAGAGCAGGAGTAGTGCCTTTTTATGCTCCAGAGCTGGCTTAAATGGGCTCTGTTCATTCCGTCCGAACAGCCCCAGCGGCTCCGTTAATAATTCTGTGTTGTATCTTTTGGGTGATCTCTTGTTAATAATTAACACCCCACCTTCTGTTTCTGAGTGTGATTACTGTAATCATGTTCCTTTCAAGCTAATGAATTTCCTGCAGCATTTTGCAAATGTTAACCAGGTAATGGCCCAAATGTCTCCCCGCAAGAAGACAGTGTTTTTCAGAAA